TTGGTTTTGATTGGCTTTATTCTGTTTTTATTTGTTGGATTTTATTATCTTTAAAATAAAAAAAATTTTAAAGATCAAGTGCATCATTATTACTGTGTTCAACTTGCCTTTGGAATCTGCCTTTGTAAGATCTGAAATCAACAGGGTGTGAGAGCTGAAGTCTTAGTAAGAACCTTTCCAATAGGGTGCCTTTTGTATCTCTTCTTGGATAGTTTAATAATAATAAAATAATAAAAATAAACTGGGCAAAGGCCAATGAGCTACAGAGATATGAGCTTCCACTTAAAATAATTTTAAAATAACAACATATAATGAAGGTTTCAGATGTTTTGTGACCTTCAGACCATCATTTGGGCAAATTTGGAATCACAGTGAAAGAAATGATCAGAAAGTAAGAAAACCTTGGTTAGAGAATGAAAGAGCAAGTATTCAAGTGAAAATCTGTAAGAAAATAATTTTTACTAAAGTAACAGTTACTCACCTAATCAAATACACTTAAGTAAAACAGACACTCACAAAAATGAAAAGTTGTCTTTTCTAATTTTCTAATACATAATTGGCAACCTTTAAAAACTGTCTTATTATATATGTTTTTTAAAAGGACCCCAAAAAGTCTAAAACTGCCTGTCCCTTTACAAAATATGGTTGGGCATGGTGGCACATGCCTGTGATCTCAGTACTTAGAAGGCTAAGATAGGAGAATCGCAGTGAGTTCAAGGCCAGTCTGGGCTACACAGTGAGTCTAGGCCAAACTGACTACTTAGTGAGATCCTGCCACAAAACAAACACACAAATTAAAAAAAAAAAAAAAAACACAGTGGCACATATCTGTGGTCCCAGCACTTGGAAGGCAGAGGCAGGATGATCACTGTGAGTTACAGGCCAAAGTAGGCTACTAAGTGAGTTTAAGGCCAGTAGGAACTGCATAGTGAAACCACAGCTCAAAAAGACCAAAAACCAAATCTCATACTTTTAACCTTAAAAGTTTGTGAAAACTTTTTCTGAAATGTTAACATATTTTCATATTTTAGGTTTACTCATTATTCATTCAGTCATAAATTCTCCAATAAATGACGGGTGGATAGTATGCAAGCTGAAACACAAAGAACAATGCAGTGAAGACAGTTCACATGGACTGCCTCTTCACACCAAACTTCACTTGCTCCTTCCAAGTAGGCAAACCAGTAGGAACAGTGAATTGAAGCCCTTTCCTCTCTGAACAGCCTCAACAGTGGCTTTCCTCCCACACAGCAGTGCAGATTCATTCTGGTCATGATCTGGGCACCCATGATTCCCAATCTGTAATTCTAGAATAGACGTTTTTCCTAAAAACACATCCCAAATTTCTACCTGCCTGGTGGACATCACCACACACATGTCCCAACACTCCTTCAAAGGCTTCATCATACACACACACACACACACACACACACACACACCTCACAGCAACAAATCCCAATCCTATTTCAAGTTCTTTACTCCTGGCCTTTACAAAGCTATCACCATCCCCTAGAACAGAGGCTTCTGAGCAATCAGATAAGCTTCAGATGGAACTGGGATATGGCTCAGTGCTAAAGCACTTGCCCAGCATGCACAAGGCCTTGGAGTCAATCCTCAGAATATAAACCAAATTCAGAAGGAGTGAATCACTTTCCCAAGCCCGCTTCCTTTTTTCAGTAAAGCTGACAAGGTCAGTATTAACTTCAGGGATGGTCTTACTCTCTATATTTAATCACTGCTTAAGAACCATCAACTCTGCCAACCAAATGTCTCTTAAAGCCCTCCCCAATTGGGAAAACTATTTTAGGACCCGTCCTGTCTCTCAGGATCTATCCTATCCCCATTCCTATTCCCATTTAATTTCTCCAATAAATTTTCCTACTCTAACCTTTGCTGTTCCTTAGAATTCATTCTTTGACTTCTGAGGACACAAACTCAGCATATTTGATGCCTTGACATTTTCTCTATATCATCTTGGATATTCCAGCAAGATACTTAAAAGGAGATTCTATAGGAGTCCATAAGCAACTCTAAAGAGCTTTGGAAGACACAGGACACTCTGTACCCAGTATGGATCTTACTATGTTGCCTAGGCTGGCCTTAAACTGCTGGGATTCAAACAACCCTCCTGCCTCAGCCTTAGGAGTAGTGGGGACTACAGTACCAGAGATTGAACCAAGGGCCTTTGCACTGAGTTACAACCCTAGCCTCTTTTTCTTTTCATTTATTTTTTTGGATTTTATCATATTTACTAAAGACAATTACTTATAGTTTTAAAAAGAAGCCTTCCCCTACTTTCTATTCCTACCACCATTGTATTCATTTATACACTCCGCAATTCTAGTCCAAAAAATTGTAAAACTCCCTAACAACCGTGCTCCCTGTCCTAACTCGCTAGCCCATAAACCCCAGAAGACCAGGGTATGATGGGTCCTAGTCCTCTTGTTGATTTTTTCCAAAGCCCAGCACAGTGCATAGCACAAAGCAAGTTTTCAAAGAACACTTCTTAGCAATGCTGGTTGGCTCCAAAGTGATCATCCTAAGCAGCAGACACAATGAAGAGAAACTATAAGAAAAACTTCAATCTTGTGAGCATTGAGGGAAGTCCCTGTGCATACTGAATGAGGACGCATAACAACCTTTCTCTCTGGGGCCCCTGGCCCCCAAATTCCTGTTTCTCCCTCACTGTGGTATGTAACTTTGGAGGAATCGGGCCCAAGCAACTGGTTAGTAAACAAAAATTTTATTCAGCATAGGTGGAAAATATAAGATATACTAAACAAGAGATAGTAAGCAGGATACATGTGTGTTAAACTTCAAAAAGAAGGAATAGAAGAACTAAGAGAGAATGAATTTTCAGTAGATATTAAATATACATGAGGCACCTGGGCTCTAAATATTCATGACACACTGTACATGGGGCACTAAATATTCATGAGTACTCAATATTTATGAGGCCTTAATTCGGCCACTCATTCACTGGCAACACCCATTCTGGCCCCATGCATCCTCTGTCCAAGAAACACAAGTGAAACCCATGACTATTCAGTAGGCTCACTGGTGAGCTACAGCTGTGGCCAGGCACACTCATCCCTGCAGCTCAACAACACAGCAAGCATATGCCCATGGCCCAGGGCCCTTTTTGCTTGTGGTTCTCCTTGCTTGGCTCTCAATTTTAGGCTCTAAACCACACACTTCAAAGATAAGGCTGATGAAACAGAGAGAGAGGAGTGTGGTTCTTTCACCCACTTGAATTTGGTCCAAAGGTAGAAACCTGTTTTGTCTCTTTCTCTTTGCTTCTCACTGTGTAAGTTAGTTCTGTTAGGTTTTGTGTCCCCACTACCTCCACCCTGTGCTGGGGATGAATCCAGGGTAGTAAACATGCCAGGCAAGTGCTCCACACTGAGGCACACCCCCAACTGTTGCTGTGTCTTCAATTATTTTAATCTATCATGTGAGTTATGTGATTTAATTTGGCCCGTGATCCTTGTGTTCTGTGGCCTCAGGAAGACCCTGCACAAATGCTTCTTAGAGGCCACTACCATATCAAGGTAACATCTCAGACAACACCATAGCTGCCACATAGACAACAAACTGTAGGAGGAACATAAGTGGAAACAGGGAGACCACAAGTGGTAGGCAGCTATTTCTCTCCTCCAGCAAAGCGATGAGGGTAGCATGAGTTAGGATGGTAGTAAGGGGAACAGAAAGACATAGGGCATGTTTTACTGGAACAGCAAAGAATAGCTGCTGTGCTCACTAGGTATAGGCAAATGAGGAACGTAAAAGGGAGTGGAGACTGCACTCAGAGAGGGCAATTTCAGAGTCTCAGATATTGGAGGTAACAATATTGCAAAAGACAAAGAAAAAAATCTCACCCAAGAATTAAGGCTTCTTGGGAAACAAAGGACTCTGGAAGATCATTTAGACCGATCACCAAACGCTCAACTCCTCTCCAATGCCTCTACCAAGCTATCAGTGAAGAACATCTCAACCGCATTCCAGGGGCATCCATTGAGACGAATGAACAAATAAGGGACCCCACTCCTCAACCCTACACCAGAAACCACCTCCGACTCCAAGCCAAGACCACCTATCACAGCTTCTGACAGCTCTCTGCTACAAAGCTAAACATGACTTGAATTCTGATCCCTAGATACCATCCATGAGGACACAGAAAATAAGGTCACTCACCCTCCCTGACACACCCCTAGACATCTTAAGACATTGTCAGGCATACTTGAATCTTGCCATTACAGTACAGACAAATATCCGTTTCTACTCTTTAGTCTCAAACACGATAATTTTCAGTCCTTTCACCCTTATAGTTACTGTCCTCTCTCGGCATCCAGAATTTAACCCCAGTTTCTTCCCTTGATCTCCACTATAGTCTAATAATGCAGCCCAGGGTTGGGTCTCTCTTGGCCACAGAGCTAATTCTTACCAGGCCAGAGCACAGCACAGGTAAATATGCCTAGGCACATATCCAGGAACAAGAACTCTGTTGAGATACCACTGAGGTTTTGTTAATCACCACAAATGATGTTAGTGAACATGTACAAGGAAGATGTAAAGGCAGTTGAAACAAAAGACAAGAAATGCAAGAAAAAGAGAGAATACCAGTCTGGAAGTGGCAATGGGAAACAACTTTCTCTTCTTCTGAGCATGTTGTGAAGGAAACCAGGTAGCCATGTCAAAGGGACCAAAGTTTTAGGACAAGATCAGAGACACAGGAGAGTCTGTTCATACTAAAGCAGCACTTGAAATGACACATTGTGCCTCAGAGCAGTGACAGAAATGGCCAATACTGAGGTGCGGGTTATAGGAAGCTGATCAGTCACTAACATTAACTACATACTAACAGTATGTTTATATCACCACTGAAAACAAGATAAGATACCTAAGTACTCCTATGGGGCCTTTTCAAAAGTTAAAGAAAGACAGTACATAATGGCAAGAGTTAGAAGTTAAATAACCACAATGCTGCTTTCAATAGATACCTTGAGGCAGTCCGCTGTTTTTCACTTCTGGTTCATTTACTTCAATTGTGTCATCTTCCGGATAGAAGTAGATTTTATAGTATCTTATTCTATATATTTCTTGGCTTTTATCAAGCAGTTCATCTTCCAAATAGGCATCAAAGCATAATACCTGTTGAATTCATAATTAGAAACTATGAAAAGAAAATCCAGAAAACTTAAAATCAATAAAGCTACTGCTCATCTACTTTTTACTAGTGTAAAGAAAATAGTTGTAGGGATTTTTCCAAAACGACATTTTATACATCATTTACACAGATACATGCTCTAACTTATAGTACATAAAGATGATTTTACAATTTCATCACTGTCTGGTTAGAAGTAGAAAATGATATTCAAGCAATAAACCCATCATTCAGCCTTACCATAAACTGTGTCTGTGGAATTTTACCATGGAATTCTACATATATGGGTTAGAGAAACAGAACAGTTTTTCTCACACAATGAAAGCAACTGTTGTCATTTTTCCCATTAATAATAACACATAGCTACTGGGTTTTGAAATAAATTATCCTGAATCTCCATCCTACTAATAGTTTGCCATGAGGCAATCTAAACAAGAAAATCTGTAATTTTTCTAAAGCATAGACATTCCACTACAGTTCTCTGGGAACCTTGAAAAGCCAGACCCATGTTACACTGTGGGGTGGGGGTGGGGGTGGGGGTGTTATCCAAAAAGCTTATGATAAAAATCAGTCAAAAATATCCTTGTGGGTCAGGGATATAGCTCAGCAGCACAGAGCCTGCCTGGCAAGTAGGAAGCCATGAGTTAGATTCCTGGTATCAAAAATAAAAAAAAATCCTTGAAAAGTCCTTAACCACTTTAGAAAACTGCCTCTCAGCAAGTAAAATGCAAGTCCTTTTTCCTCCCATGTTAACACACAAGATTGTCTGCCTCTCTCTAAACACCAGTTGAAATAGCATTTGTGTTTAGGTGCCACGTAGCATGAAAGTAATCACCTTCAGAATCAATCTCCACAAGGCAGTCTTCTCACACACTGAGCAGGACGTGGTGATTGAGGATAAGTGTGAGAACAGTATATTTATGCTAGCATTTCCAGCTTGACCTGGGGCACAAATTGCTTGAGATCCATTTAAATATTCACTGCCTCTCAATTTTGATCAATTGTTATAATAGAAGTTGCACAAGTTAAGTTAATTATGGGTTGAAGGGAGGAGAGGGGAATGGAAAAAAAGCAAGATATATCACACACAGGCACAAATTTCCCATGATAGGAGTGATCGTTATGTATATCTAAAATGCACCAACAAAAAAGTTAACTATATATATGATGTAACTCCAGGATTATTCAACATGGACATTATCTATATCAACCTACACTCTAGTGGTGGTCAGTTACCCTATACATATTCCAAGAGTGTTTAGTAAATTTCTATCAGAAGCCCATATTTCTAACAAAGTATCTGAGCAACACAAAACACTTTGTTAATTACAAAAAATGATCTTACACCGGGGCATGGTGGCTCATGGAAGGCTGATGCAGGAGGATGGCTGTAAGTTTGAGGTCAGCCTGTACTATAAGTGAGCTCAAGGCCAGCCTGGACTACACAGCAAGATCCAGACTCAAAAAAACAAAAACAAAAAATGATGTTAGAAATTAGACTTAATGAAATGGCAGTATTCAAAATGCACATATCAGTTACTGATACTGACCAGGCACTGATCTTATAGGAACAGGTTCTAAGAATCTGGTGAGCCCAGGAATTCACACCACTCAAAAAATCATCTCTGACTTCATCCCAAAATGGCCCTATGTTCAGTGGCTTTCTCAAGGAATTGATCTGGCCTGCCTACTTTAACTAGAAGGTTTTCATTGGAGTAACAAAATACTGCATCAGGCATAAACCAACTTTCAGGAAGAAAGCTTTAAGTTTGCTCATGGTTTCAGAAGTTTCAGCTCATGGTTGGCTGGTTTCATTACTTTTAGTCCTGTGGCAAGGAAACGATATCATGACAGAAGCACCTAGCAGAGGAAAGCTGCTCATCAGGAGAGCCAGGATAGAGAATGAGAAGGAAAGAGCTATAGAGAAAAGGGGCAGGGCCAAGATATAGTCCCCCAGCTGACACAACCATGACTCACTCCCTTCAGCTAGTCTTGACCTCCAAGGTTTCCACTGCATCCTAGTGTGCCATCAAATGAGGATCTCACCAACGGACTGGCCCAGTAATGAAATTAGAGCCCTCAAGAGCCCATCATCTTCCCAAAGCCTCCCTCTGCACATGTGAGACCTTGGGGGAACATTTTCCAGCTAAATCACAGCAGAGGTCCAATTTTTATGAGGCAAGCATTTCAGGTAATATGCTATCAGATGGATACAGGTATCTTGTTTTGTTCTAAAATATTTTGGCAACTAGATAGAAGTAGTAGTTGTACAATATTATGAATATGATTAAAAAGTCACTGAACTGATCACTTTAAAATGGCTAATTTTGGGCAGTCACAGGCCACACGGAGGAGAAACAAGAAGCTAACCCCTTTCTGTGAGCCAGCTAGTGCATAGGCTGGGAGAAAAGCAGAGCCAACCTCTCTCCTACCCCGGTCAGCAATCAGCTGATCCGAAGAAACACAGGCTGGGATGATAGCTACTGGGGATGGAAAAAACAACCTTGTGACATTTAGTATTTGACTGACTTTGCAAGCCCACAGCTGGTGGTCTGAGCATCTATTTGGAGCATAAAAATATGCAGTATAGCACCTATGGGGGATTTCTTTCTAAAGGTAGTAGCCATTGTTAACTCCCTATTATCTTGTTTTAAAGTCCTGTATCATTTCATTATTTTGCTTGGGTTGGTTTTATTCTGTTTTATTTTGTTTGGTTTTATTATTTCTGATGGTATGGGCAGCTATTTTGAAGATAACAAGAAGCGTTATATTGTTGTTGATCTCTTATTATCTTGTTTTGAAGTCCTATACCACTTTCACTGTTTTGTTATGATTGGCTTTATTCTGGTTTTTTTAAAAAAAATCTTTTTAAAATAAAACAAAAATGCCACCATAGGGACTCTGCCATAGGTAGCCAGCAAAGGCAGGGAGAAGCAGCCAGCATAGTGCCTATATACATGCTGGTCACCATCAGGACTCTCCCATGGATAGCCAGTGTAAGCCAAGAGAAGCAGCCAGTCACATCTCAGAAAAGCCACAACTGTCTAGAAAAGCCTACCCCACACCCCACCACTCCTGGGAAATACAAGTGCCTGACCCATGCCCCTACACTGTGGACCAGGTAGCCAATGTGAGAAGTGCCTGTGGCCCCACAACTTGCTTGTACATAAGGATCCAGGAAAATATCAACATGAAGGAGAAAAAGGCAATCTCTGGCCTCCAGCCCACACAGAACAAGTCCAGGAGACATGGGCAAGGAAGAAAGTAGAACTCAAACACCTGAAATTTCTGGAATGACAGTACCTGAAGTAAAGAAACTACTTCATGAGGCTGTAAAACAAATCAGATCAGAAATAATACCTCAAGGAAAAGAAGAAATGACAAATACAATAAAAGGGTTGCTGAGCATATCTAAAGAAGACATAGATTTTTTAAAAAGGAAGATCATAGGAGAATGAGGGAAACCTTGAATGCATGAAACAGACTCAAAGAGATATCCAGGAAATTAAAAGCTCCACTGAAAGCTGGAAAACCCACTTCAAAGAAACTGAAGATATAATTTCAGACCTTGAAGACAGGATGGCAGCTAGTGATCAAGAAAGGAAAAATCTCTTGAAAATAAGAAAGAACCAATAAATAACAATTCAACGGCTACGAGACAATACAAAGAAAACTGGATCAGCAAAAAAGCAGGAGTCATTGCAAATGACATAAAGAAACTATTTACAAAAGTAATAGCAGAGAACTTCCCAAGCATGGAAAAAGGATTTGACATAAGATAAGTGAGGCATTTAGAACTCCAACTAACCATAACCAAAATAAATCTACACCCAGACATACAATAATCAAGATCCCAGAAATTCAGCACAAGAACAGAATATTAAATGCTGTTAGAGAATAGAAACAGATAACCTATAAAGGAAAACTCATCAGAATTACAACAGACTTCTCAACATAAATCATCAAATCAAGAGGAGCGTGGAATAAGGTATTTTAAGTCCTAAAGGATAACAACTTCCAGCCCAGATCGACATACCCTGCAAAGCTATCTTTCAAATTTAATGGCAAAATAAGATACTTCCATGACAAAGAACAACTGAAGGAATTCATGACCGCAAAAGCAACTTTACAAAGAATAATCAAGGACATTCTATAGATAGATAAAAATGACCCCAGTTCCTGGAACAGCAACAAAGTGAGATCGTCAAGTGGGGTAAACAATTGAATGGAGGAGAAAAGCAGGGAGCCAACAGCAGGAAAAAAGCATGGCAGAGGCAAACCACAGCATGTTGGCCCTAACCATTAGTATAGATGGCCTCAATTCACCAATAAAGACAGGGAGAGTGGATCAGGAGACAAGATCCATCAATATGCAGTATACAAGAAACACATTGAATTGAATAAAAATTTATAGATTGAAAATAAAAGGAGAAAAAACAATGTTCTATGTGACAGGGAACCTGAAAAAAGCAGGGGTAGCCTGCCATCAGGACCCACAGAACAGAGAAGAAAGATATGGCATTTTTATACAATGGAAAGCTACTCAGCTATAAAGAAAGATGATCACAAGACTCTTGAAGGTAAATGGATGCCACTTCTGATCATGCTTTTGGGTGAAATGGTTTGGACTCACATAGGTGAATATCATGTTGTTTCCTTAGTATAAAAAACTGAAGGAGTTAGTGGGATCCAAAATGTACAGTAGATATTACGAAAGTGAAAGGGGAAGAAACGCCTAAAAAGGGAAGGTGGTAGCCATCCTTAATTCCCTATTACTTTGTTTTAAAGTCCTGTATCATTTTCATTGTTTTGTTTTGATTGGTTTTATTCTGCTTTGTTTGGTTTGATTTTATTATATCTGATGGCATGGGCAGCTATTTTGAAGATAGGATACGTCATGGTAACCATTGTTGATTTTGAAGTCTCGTATCACTTTCACTGTTTTGTTTTGACTGGTTTTATTGTTCTTTTTTATTTGATTTTATTA